TGCGAGGTGGGGCCTCCATTAACCCTTTTGCTGCCAAGGACGTATGGCATACGGACCTACAAAAGTGCTTCCAGCTGGCCAGCTCAGTATGCCATACGGACCTGGCATTTACAGTTCTACTATAAGCTAATGGTCGCTTTAGCGACCATCAGCTTATAGTAGAACTGTTCAGCAGACTGTCCCCTTTAAATTAATAGCTGTCATCAGCGGCCCAAAACCGCTGATGACTGCTATTATCAAAAATACCGGGCGCCTGGCTTGGCCAGCTGATTTGAAAAATGTTCCGGAGGGCTTGGCAGCGAAAAGGTTAAACAGATGCTCGTTTGGATTGAAATCTGGAGAATTTGGAGGCCAAAACCTCAAGTCAGCACCTCAAACTCATTGTTGTGTTTCTCCGACCATTCTTCAATAATTTTATCAGTGTGGCAGGGCGCGTTATCCGGCTGAAAGAGGCCACTGCCATCAGGGAATACCGTTTTCATGAAGGGGTGTACTTGGTCAGCAACAATGATTAGGAAGGTGGTACGTGTCAAAGTAACATCCACATGAATGGCAGAACCCAAAGTTTCCCAGCAGAACGTTGCCCAAAGCATCACACTGTCTCTGATGGCTTGCCTTCTTCCCACAGTGCATCCTGGTGCCATCTCTTCCCCAGGAAAGTGACACACATGCACCCGGCCATCCATGTAATGTGAAAGAAAATGTGATTCATCAGACCTGGCCACCTTCTTCCATTGCTCTGTGGTCCAGTTCTGATGCTCATGTGCCCAATGTATGTGGACACAGGTCAGCATGGGCACCGTGACCGGTCTGCAGCCCCATACGCTACAAACTGCGATGCACTGTGTGTACAGACACCTTTCTATCAGAACCAGCATTCACTTTTCAACAATTTGAGCTACAGTAGCTTCTTTATTGGATTGGACTACGCAGGCCAGCCTCTGTCCCCACATGCAGCAATGAGGTTTGGCCACCCATGACCCTGTTGCCAATTCACCGGATTTCTTTCCTTGGACCACTCTTGGTAGGTCCTGACCACTTCAGACTGGGAACATCCCACGAGAGCTGCAGTTATGGAGTTGCTCTGACCCAGTGGTCTAGTAATCACAGTTTGGCCCTTGTTAAAGTCGTTCAAATCCTTCATTTGTCCATTTTTTCTGCTTCCAACACATCAACTTCAGGGACAAAATGTTCACTTGCTGGTTAATGACTGCTGGGCCCCCAGACAGGAAGCGGTCATACATGGTGTCCAAATGTTAGCGCGTGGTTTTTTCCCCTGTAAATTCAGAAAATAAATCTGAATTGTGCAGTAAAATCTGCAGACATTTGTCATATAGGGTCTTGGCATTCAGAAAATATATAATGTTGGGGGGTTTTACGTCATTTTCAGGCCTAAAATGTGGAATATAACATGGGTGCAAAAATTTAAAAAAGGGCCTCAGTCATGAAGGGGTTAAAGCAATCTTTAGTTTATTCCATGTAGGACAAGACAACAGGTTCGCTTTGCTAGGTTTCTTCACTCCACTCCATACAGCTGATGAGAGTGAGAAAAATATTTGCTCCCTTTTGGCCGGTTAATTATGCCATTGAAAGTATTTTATTCTATTTGTGCAAAAAATGCCTGTGGATTGTGTCATAAATTCAGAGCTGTCCAGGGTTATCTCAAGGAGTCTAACTAGCCCTCCTTGTTCATATCTTGGACTACAGAATGATTCATGTCTATGTTATGGAGAACAGGATATGCGGTAGGTTTGAATCGTTCAGCAAAAGACAACTGAGCAGGGCTGACACCATTCAGTTCACAGAAATCCTGTATGTTGTCAGCCTTCCACAAGAAAGGAGCTGAGAGCATTTCTGAACAAGAAATTGTATTTTTTTGTACTCGCAGGGTCTTGCAATGTACATGCATTACAGAGATGTGCTGCATGTGTGTGTTTTTTTATTTTGCGTATATAGAACCCTTAGCCCTCATTCACATTAGAATCGTCTGGCACCTACAGCTCCGTGCTGCGTGCATGGCCATATCGGGCAGCTCCCGGGAAGGACAGGAGATGCGTGTGATTAGTACGCAGCCCCAGTCCTTCTCTATGGGACCACGCAGCCGTACACCGCCCTACGCTCACCTGACAGCGGCACGTCCGTGCGGGTGAGCGTACTCCTACGCTGACAGGATGGATCCTGTCTGCATCTGAGCCAGGAAACACGCACCCGCATTGACCTGCACTTGAGTTGAGCGTAGAGGGGGCGTACGGCTGCGTAGTCCCATAGAGAGGGACGGGGGCTGCGTACTAATCCTTCCCGGGAGCTGCCCGATACGGCTGTACATGCCGGCCGTTTCTAGTGTGAATGAGGGCTAAACCTCAGACCCAAAGCTGTGAGAGAAGGGGCAAACCATGTAGTCACCGCATTGACTTGTAGCTGAACTCATGATGTTTCCCAGACCTCTGTATAAACAAACACTGGAAATTTCCCCAGGTGCTTTTCTTTTTTTATATTCCATTTCATAAATAGGTCTGTAACTTCCATACAAAGAACAGCGATCTCTAAAAAGAACAGCAACCCCGTCACCAAACGTGGCAGACACTAACAGCCCTGGGGCGAGACAGGTGACAACACAATAGGTCTAAAGAATTGCCACACACGTGACTATATATCGTGCCATTGCAGTCACATGCATGGAAACCTGTACTGAGAGGAATATGGAGACTCCCACTACTGACCTGTCCTTCTGAAAACGCTAGTTGACTGGCTGCCATACTGATCTTCTGGCTTGAGTTATTTGAGTCATTGGCTTTAAACCAGCATGCAGATGAGGATTTAGGACTTCCCTCACTATCCTTGTTTGCATACTTGTTTTGGGTCAGTGACTGAAAATGTACTAAAGCCAAATGGTCGGCATAGCAGCCAGACAACTAGTGTTTTCAGAAGGAGGCCAGCAATGGCAGCTTACATATTTATATATCAGTACAGGTTTACAGGATAAGCAAATATTGTCCTAATACAAGAGCCGTGTGTATTCTTACTTGAATCTTGGTGAGCTTTGTGTATTTCTTCCAGATCTGTGCAGTAATCCAGTGTGAAACCTTACCTCTGTGCAGGATCTTCCTGTAATAAAGACCAGTCTCTCCTTGTGCAGGGTGACTGGTCATGTATCCGCCCCCTCCTGTAGTTTTCTGCAGGCAGCCTGTACTGGGTGGAGCCTGCTGGTCCCTCCCACAGCTCTGCTCTCTGCACAGGCTATGTTCAGCATAGTGATGATGTCACTACTACTTTTACAAGGTATTAGCTGGGTATGGAAAGGCATTTGGTGCACACAGAGTGGAGCAAAGGGAAGAGAGGAGCGCACCAACTTCCGGCGGACGCAGGGATCAGATCACCTATTGTCACAGCTGATTCAGGAATCCCATTCATTTCTATGGCCCCTGTTCACACCTGTGAGCTTTGTTGCAAGCAGAAATACACCTGTTGCTCGAAATAGTACATGAGCTACTTTTGGGGCAGATTTTAGCGAGTTTTGTCCTATAGACTCAATAGAAAACGCGAATTGCAAATTTTTTGTGTGTGTTTTTGCGCGCACTTTGCCCATACACATGAATGTGCCATAATCTGCTCACAAACACACAAAATATATGCGCAAAAAACGCTCAAAAAAGACGTGCGCAATAGGGGTCGCCTAGGTGTGAATGGAGCCTTAAGGAGAGATGTATTGGAGAGTAAAACATACTTTGTATGCTGCTTACAGCCAGCACGGGACACTGCAGCTGTCATACTCCGGCTCTCTACCAAGAGATCACATGACTGCTCATCTGTCAGGTCTCTGTCTCTTCTTGCTGTAGAGAGCAATGATTGGCAGTCACTGCTCCCCGCAGGGATTTCCCACTCCCCTCTCTGCTCCTCCAGCAATCTTTGGAGGGACAGACGAGAGGGGGCGGGCACGGCTGGCTCGAGCTCTAGAGAGGCAGAGACAGCTATCAATCAGACTGTTGGGTGGATCCAGACAATATTGTCATAATCCTGTCATTTCTCTGATTTTATGGAAAATCTCTGCTGCACTCCACTGCCAATGAAAGTCATAAATGACCACTGAGGGGCTCTCATTGGGCAGTAGCATAGAGGTTGGCAGGCTTATCCATGAAATCAGGGGAAGTCAGGCCCCAGTAACAGAGATCATTTAATTAGGAAAGGGGCATGGAATTAGCTTTTTTTTTAATAAAGGTAATGGCATAATGGCAGGCATCTTTTTTTAGGCTGGACCTTTACTAATAAAAGGTCTAAATGGAGTAGAGCAGGGGAAGCCAAACTTCGGTTCTCCAGCTGTGGTGAAACTGCAATCATACATCTGCCTCTAGGAGTCATGCCTATGGCTGTCAGTCTTGCAATGCCTAATATCACTTTTCTGCAATGAAACGGAAACAAAACGAAAAAAGTCGTAAAGACTACCGCTAACAAATTTGGTCCGAATCCCGAAATGAATTGACTTTCGGACCTGAATCAGGAAAAACAAAATAACGCAAAATCCGAATTAGAACAAAACGAAACAAATTTGTTGCCAGTGCACATGTCTAGCTTCCGCTGTAGTAGAAGGAGAAGAAGTAACACAATACAGATCCAGGAAGCAGACATACCCAGCACACTTGTGAGGAGCTTGGGGAATTCCGGCTGAGGTGATTTGTACTGAACTCTGACTAAGGGGACTCTGCCAGACAGACATCATCTTTTCTTGCCCATTAATTGCGTAAGAGCTGTTGTGATACTGATAGGGTGTCGTTCCTGATAACTGTATAGAATATATCCATGGTCATCTTGAAGATAAATGATGTACCATCTGTTCACACTCACACAGGATATCACAAGTGTCTTGGCAGTGCCTGGCTTTGGCACAGCTATCAAAGTCAGCAATGCGATTGGACCCAGAGAGGAAGTCCTGATACTGTGGAATATAAAGGAATGGCGGGTGGGTGGCAGCCTTACAGTTTGGGAGAGCTGCTGGAGGAGAAGCGATGGCGCTCATTGGCGTTTTCTTAGTTTTCGCTGGCGTTCTGGCAGCTGCTCAGGCTGCAACGGTAAGGCAGTCTTTAGGTCTCTCTATGGAAGGAATATTTTGAAAACCTATTTCTAATTACATTCTGGATTATGTAGATATAAAAAAATGTTATGTAGGCAAAATTCTTTCGAATGGAAAGGCTGAAGAAAGTAAGCTACTATAGAAAAGATTACATGCAGCCATACCACTCTGGCGGGTGGTGCCTCGGATCTACACTGCCTTCTGAAGAATCCTCACCATACAACATCCTGGAGTGTCAGATGTCAGGTCCCCTGCTGCATGCTGTGGTTGCATCCACCTACTGTGTCATGTACTCATGTAGGAAGGAACCACAGCACACAGCAGGGGACCAGGAATCTGACACACCGGGAGCTGTGTCAGATGATGGAGGTTCTTCAGGCACTGGAAATCTTACAGACATCTGGAGCTGTTATCGTCAGGTCAGTTATATATATTCCAGAGTTTCTTCTTGCCTGCTTCTGCTCTGTAAACATTCTGGCAGGACATTTTAGTCACTTTCTGCCTCATATAAACATTCCATGGGACTATATAAAGAGAATCTACGTATCCTAACATTTCTGTAGTTGTATGGCCTAAGTTTTGCAACAACTTCACCAAAGAGCCTCTATTACTGAACAGTTTTTGGTGCTTCCATTTAACTACGGCCCTAGTACAAACCCATATTCACTATGTATAGATAGATACTGAGCAGTTGTGATACCCTGTAAAAAAAAAAACATGATTAGGTACAAACCCATATTCACTATTCACTATGTTTAGATAGATACTGAGTATTTGTGATACCCTGTAAAAAAACAGGAACATGATTAGGGCATCAGAAATACCTTGGGACTCTCATCTGCCCCAGTACTGAGCAATAAGTGGGTCTACCTGACAATCCCCACACCAGTTTGACTTACATTCAGCATAAATGGGCCCCTGTGCAGCTGCAGTCTACACAAATGGCTTTTCCATCAATGACCAAAGATGAACGGCTCAATGTATAAACCCCAGGAAAGTGCAGGGGATGCTTAATATTGTTTCTCAGGTTCTCTGCGGAACCCTGCTGGATATTAAAATGTTCCTAATTAAATTTCTTTTTCTATTCCGATCTTGCCCTTACAGCTTGGGGTGGTGCATACAGAAGGAGGATTCGTAGAAGGGACAAGCAAGAAAATTGGCCTTTTGAACCCAGTTTATCTGGACATTTTCAAGGGGATCCCATTTGGTGCTCCTACAAAAATCCTAGAAAAGCCCGAGAAGCATCCAGGATGGTCAGGTAAGCCAGCTGGACTCTCGTATACTGCAGTAGATGACACGAGCAGGCAGCACTGGGACTGATGCAAAAAAAAATTGTCTGTTGTCCATCACAAACATTCATCCTTTCAGATTTCATCCTAAACTAAGATTACACATAGACTCTAGCTGAGATTTCTGGATTTACCACAGTTCATGTATATTGAAGGAGTTGTAGAGTCCCTTCATACACTATCCTGTTATAACATCAGCATTGTAATAGGAATACATACTAGAGTTGTTAACAGGTGCGAGAGCTGAAGTGGTTAAACTTAGCTCCTAAATGTCCCCATTTTCAGGAACTATCCCTGTTTTTTATTTTAAAACGGAGCTATTTAATTACCAAAAGTATATACTACACTTAACCTTTCATCCAACCTCTAAATGATTGCATTTGTTATATGAAAACAGTCAGTATAAAAAAGAAGGATCTGGGCCTTTTATGCCCTGATGCCCAATCTGTGGCCCAGGAGCCACATGTAGCCCATTTGTACCTTTCGTACAGCCTTCGGGGGCTCTGTGTTTTCCTAATGGAGGTTATGACTCAGGACTGTGAGGGAAATATTCTTTAGACTGGATTGATTGATTTCTTTCACCCTATCTTTACTTTTTTCTGCACTGTTTCTGCACTGATCATCCGTCTCCTTTTCTTTCTCTGTTATTTGCTCCTCTGATTTCTATAATGGAGAGAAATATGAAATGTGACACAAGCAAAATGTACAGGGGCTGTGGGGAGCACAATGTGGAAGTATTGATTTGTAAAGGGGCTGTAGCACCAGTAAGGGGGTGTCCAGTCTATGAGTGTCTCCTGAAGTATGTTCCCAGTCTCTAACAACTCTTATAACATGTTAGCAGTCTGTGGCCATCTCCCGTTTAATGTCTGCAGTCACAGAGATTTCTGTAGCATTACATTCACTGAATATTATGTGTGGCCCTTTGGGCATATCAGGAGCCCCACTTGAGGCCACCTATATCAAGGAAGTTGACCAAAAATGTGGGTTGGAATAACAGGAAGCATGGCTGGAATATGCCTTTTGCTTGAATATCTTTTATGGGTTCTATGAGTTATGGGTAAAACATTCCTCACTATGACAGTGGGGCCTAGGGTTGCCACCTTTTCATCAAGCAAAACCCGAACACTCTAGCGACGCGCAGAATTTTTTTTGGAGTCGTGGCTTATTCATATGTAAATAGCGCCACCCATTCATAGGTAAATATCACAGTCGAGACTGTACAGTGAAGGGCCAGTAGCCTCTATCTTAATTGTGGTTGCCCCTGTCTGCCTGACATCTTGTGTCCGGGTTTCTGCTGCTATGAAACCCGGAAACAGCATTCAAAACCCGAACTGTCCAGGTGAATCCTGGACAGGTGGCAACCCTAGTGGGGCCCATTCACACAGGCAGCTGGGGATGACTTTCAGTGAGAATATTGCTGAGAAGCTAAGCTGCATGCACGCAGTGTGTGGGAACTGATGTGGCCACCAGCGATGACTGTTAGATTTGTACAGATCAATGGCGGGTGCTGCCACTGTTTGAATGTAAATGCTTGGATGAGCCTCTGGCCGACCCTGGAAGCAGACAGGTTGAGTACAGGGGCAGCGTATCCGCGGAGTTTCTGGCTGCAAACAAACCGGCCACAGCTATTCGGCTAGTTTGAATGCAGCCATAGCACAGAACGTAGCTGAATACAGCAAACTACCTGTCTGAATGAGGCCTAAGGGGGACTAGATCTCTTTAATGCAGGGGTGGGCAACTCTGGCCCTCCATCTGTGCTTTAACTACAAATCCCAACATGCCTCTGCCTCTGGGGGTCATTCCTGTAACTGTCAGTTTTATAATGCCTCATGGGACTTGTAGTTCCACAACAGCTGGAGGTCCAGAGTGTGCCCACCCCTGCTCTAATGAAATTCCTGGATAGCAGTAAAAACCTTGCAGTGGTTCTATTCCTCCCCCACTATTGAAAACAAACATACGCTTTTTCACAACTTCTAAATGACCAGCTATATCAGTTTATATTATGAGACAAGCACATTTTATGTGTAAGTTTCCAATCATATTTTATTAAATCAGAAGTAAATCTGCTGCGGGTCCCCAGTCCCGTAACATGTAACTGTTCACAGCAAATTTTGTGTTTTTACCTTTAGTTCCGCTTTAAACTAGAGGGTGTCATAAGCACCTATTGACATGTGTACAGTGGATAAAATCAATACACTTTCCCCCCTGACCTCCATTAATCAGGCCTCTCCTCTAAGGCCTAGTCCTGTGTAGTGATAATGAATCCTGCACTCAGCCATTTTCCTGTCAGCGGTTCTGAGGTAATAGACTGTAGGAGGATGAATGGCCTGCAGGAGTATTGCGTTACCATGAGGTGGAATTCCTGGAAACACTCAGTTTTCTCAGAATGGTACAAGTATGGACGCCTTTTCGAAAAAGAGAAATGACTTCTGGTTAATTGACATTTTTATTTTGGCATGCTGGTGAAGGAATCACACTCAGGGTTTAAAGCTTTAAACATATCAAAGAGCATAAGCAAAAAAATTAGTCAAGTACAGTCCCCACTCCGGCGATTGAAAGGTTTGCTGCATGGAGTTGTACATAAAAAAATAAATAGTGGAAATGAGTCTCCTTTGAGGACCCATTCACATGGTGAACTGCGCGGTACGGCACCGGATTAAGGCAGGTCACCGCTAGGACACATAAAAAACAATCGTTTTCTATGTGCCCCATTAACACCACAACACAGTGGACGGTGCACTGCAATAAAATAAATACATGCTGCATTTTATCACAGCACAATGAATCCCACCGCAGGTTACCGCACAGCAGAGCAGCTTTGGGACATGAATGGAGTGTACACATGGGATTGTACACCCCATTGACACCCATCATACCATAACAATAAACTTAAATAAAAAAGTAAAACACAACAACGATTGTGGAATAACTAGGCCGCGGCACCTTTATTGGGTTTTAATTAATAATTTATTGGTTAAATTAATTTAATTAATTTAACCAATAAATAGACTTTAACCTTTATTACCAAACAGAACCACTGTTAACCATTAACAGACCACCATGCTTAGTCATCAAGACTCAAGCAGCAATAACTTACACCAACCAAATTACTGTTTACCAACCACTGTCCACCCACAAAGTGGGCGACATTACCCCATAAAGATTGACCGCGACAAGGGAAAGTACAGTAAAGGGGAGGGTGGGCGGGAAGCAGGTGAAAAGATCCAAAATGAATTGTGAAGATAATCCAGAGGTGAGTCCAGCTGGCAGTTCTGAGGTAAAATGCTGACACTGTCCAGTGACAGGAGTGACTATAAAAGGGGGAAAGGTTTAGGGTTGCCACCTGTCCAGGATTCACCCGAACAGTCAGGGTTTTGAATGCTGTGTCCAGGTTTCATGGCAGCTGAGACCTGGACACCTGATGTCAGACAGACAGGGGCAACCAAAATTAAGATAGGGGCTATCGGCCCCCCAGTAAAAATAGTCTCAACTGTGATATTTACACATGAATGGCTGACGTTATTTACATACAAATAAGCCATGACTCATTCTCCCCAAAAAAATTCCGTGCGTCGCTAGAGTGTTCGGGTTTCGCTGGAAGAAAAGGTGGCAACCCTAGAAAGGTTACACTCATTGGTCAGCTGTTTTCCCGCCAAAAGTCTGTCACCAATCCTGTGCTCAGCTGACTGAAGGTCTGTCCAGCAACTGAGGTAAATCTTCCTAGCAACAGCAGGGAGCTTGTAACCTGAAAGACAAAGCAGTCCCAGAGAGACATGTACATGACAGTCACTCCACACCTCTATTCACATATAATTAGTTTAAAAAACAAAAACACATGGGTGATAGGGGCGACAATCCCATGGGGCCACTTCTCCTATTTTGCTTCCGTGGCCCTAACATTGTACACTTCACATAAAGTTTAGGGGGAAAAGAAGTAAACAATGACTAAGTAAACACTACTGGAGCTGTACAACGCATGGAGCGCTTCAGCAGATGGGTCTTTACATGCATTTTCATGCATTATGTATTTTTTGTTTTGGCCAAAGAAGTTGGGGGCTTGTTGTCATGCCTTAAAACTGCATGTTACATGCATATTTCTTGTGTTTCTATGGGGCTATAAATGGACTTTAAAAAAAAGGCGCCTGCACCATTTTCCAAGTCGCAAAGAAGCGTATTGCATAGGTGTGAACGGGTCCTTTAGAAAATAATGGGATTCCTTTTGTTGTGCATTGTCACGTGACATATGAAGCGCTTCAATTGGCACAGATGTGAGCGGGGACTAATACATCTTGCTAAACAAACAAACAAGCAGCAAATAAACAAGTGGCGTCTTCCTGTAGCCCAGGGGTGGGCAACTCCAGCCTGTTGTGGAACTACAGGTCCCATGAGTCATTGCAAGATAAGTCTCATGTCTTTTTAACACTTTACAATCCTGTATGACCACCTGTTATGATTCATGACTATCTTTTTTAATGGTTTGAAAAGCAGCTTCCTGTCCTCACTCCAGTGCTCTATAATGGCAGAGCTGAGTAGCAGTCACACCTCTTATTACAAATGTCCTCACACAGACTTGTATTGCAGAGGAACAGAGGAGTGTATCTACTAGTCCGACTCTCTATTGCTCTGCAATGCAAGTCTGTTACTAAGTGCTGATTACTGAGTGCACTGGGACTAACTGCTTGTTGGACTGGACAGTCATATAGAGACCATTATTTGTATACTGTACATTGCACAATGTCTATAACAAGAAAAAAGAAAATAAGACTATGAACATAAAGGCTGTGCCATATCTATCTGACTGCATATGTATTTCTGTGGCTTCAGTTGGGCTTTAACATAGATGTAATCGGGGTTTGAGCTATAAAAATCCATGGAGTAACCTTTATTACAATTTATGGATACAGTCCTAAAACTGCAAGGATGTGACCAGGGCCGGATTTCCACAAGGCCACAGAGGCCTGGTCTAGGGGGAACAGCAGGGAGTGGAGGGGCAGCAGGGGTGTGGAATTCCTATCACCCGATGCCCAGGACAAGCAGTTTCGGGCATCAGGCAGGTAGTTTTTTTTTCTGCATTAATCCTGCTCCGGGCAAACTGAGCTAAATGTACAACGGGGAAGCCGCCACTTGTTTTGTACAAGTGATTTCACCGATGCCGCTGAGATTACTTGTATGCAGCCTGCAGGTCTCAATAAAGAGGACCTGTCATCTCTGAATGTTATCACACAATAAGCTGCCTATTGCACCCACCCTCTGCTGCTGTCAATCAGCAGAGAGAGGACCTGATGGAGAACATGATGGAGATTGACTGGAGCACTGGGTGGGTGCAATAGCTAGTCTGCTATTGGCTATTGCAAATTCAAATAGCCAATAGCAATCTAAATATTAATTTCTATGCTTTTCTTACTCTGACGGCGGCCGGTGGCTCCGATATCAGAGTAAAAAAACAAAAAAACAGACAGCAGGGAAAGGTTTACTTTGCTAGATAGAGCAGAGCAAACCTTTCCGGGAGAAAATGTTTCTCTCCCGGTCGGCCGGGAGCCACTATCTAATAGCGGGGGGCTCCTGGAACATCCGGGAGAGTTGGAATGTCTGGATGTGGATCTGGGCAGACATTGCTACCCATTGAAGCAGCTGTGAGCCAGGATTCTAATTCCTGTGGGGTTATAAATCAATAGTAGGATATTCTTATTTCTAGGGATGGTTTTAGAGAGTATTGTGAAGAGAGTATAGTGGTCCCTATCTCACATGCATACAGGCAGCAGCCAATTAACCTTCCAGGATCACGGGCACAGGGAACAAACACACACAGCTGAAAGACCATCAGCACAGTGAGCAAGGCAGGCTCGTTTAAATAGGTCATTTCCCTAATGCCTGTTGTGTCACTTCCTGTGCGCCTGCTGTTTGTGCAACTTTGTGCGTATTTCTGATTGTGCACGCATGCGCACCGCAGCATATTTCCGTCCAGTTCTATTGGGACGTTTGCGTGCATGCGTGGTTGTCGTCTTTACCTTATACCTAGTCACATGTCTAGTCACATGTGCCAGAAATTCAGGAAGTAAAAGGAGAGCTAGTAATCTGCCCTTAGTAAACATGGCCACTGCCAGAAGACTGGGGAAGAAAAGATAAATAAGGTGTGCAAAGAATACAAAGCCGGAAATTATCTAGAAGTGTGTGTTTGTAGATTGTCATTACTAAACATTTCTAAAGGTGTGTTTGTTGTTATTTTAAAGATTTGGGTAAAGGTCCACTTTAAGTCCCAGGTAGTCTGGACAACTGTATACAATAGCTGAAAAAAAGCCTATTTTCAGCATCACCTTTTTTACAAATTTGTCCTGCAGGTACCTTGAAAGCTAAAGAATACAATAAACGTTGTATGCAGGCAACTCTGCTCCAGACTGATATCATGGGAGATCTGGACTGTCTCTACCTGAATATCTGGGTCCCCCAGTCTCGTAAAGCAGGTCAGTAAACACAAAAATAGAACATTATCTTTAAGAGGGTTACATGCATGATTGTTTGACATTTAGAATATTGTAACTTTATTAACTTAATTTTATAGCTGACACTAGTGATGAGCAAAATGGTTCCCAAATTAAGAGTATCAATGTAGCAATTTGTCATTACTCTCTTACTGCCTGGATGAGCAGGGTGATACTTCCTCCCTGGCTGAATGAGAGGGGCGACACTTCCTCCCTGGCTGGATGAGAGGGGTGACACTTCCTCCCTGGCTGGATGAGAGGGGCGACACTTCCTCCCTGGCTGGATGAGAGGGGTGACACTTCCTCCCTGGCTGGATGAGAGGGGTGACACTTCCTCCCTGGCTGGATGAGAGGGGCGACACTTCCTCCCTGGCTGGATGAGTGGGGTAACACTTCCTCCCTGGCTGGATGAGAGGGGCAACACTTGTTCCCTGGCTGGATGAGAGGGGTGACACTTCCTCCCTGGCTGGATGAGAGGGGTGACACTTCCTCCCTGGCTGGATGAGTGGGGTGACACTTCCTCCCTGGCTGGATGAGTGGGGTAACACTTCCTCCCTGGCTGGATGAGAGGGGCAACACTTGTTCCCTGGCTGGATGAGAGGGGTGACACTTCCTCCCTGGCTGGATGAGAGGGGTGACACTTCCTCCCTGGCTGGATGAGTGGGGTGACACTTCCTCCCTGGCTGGATGAGTGGGGTAACACTTCCTCCCTGGCTGGATGAGTGGGGTAACACTTCCTCCATGACTGGATGAGTGGGGTGACACTTCCTCCCTGGCTGGATGAGTGGGGTGACACTTCCTCCCTGGCTGGATGAGTGGGGTGACACTTCCTCCCTGGCTAGATGAGTGGGGTGACACTTCCTCCCTGGCTAGATGAGTGAGGTGACACTTCCTCCCTGGCTAGATGAGTGAGGTGACACTTCCTCCCTGGCTGGATGAGCAAGCCATCACTGCCTTGCTAGCTGGATGATCAAGGCGTTGTTCCCTTTCCCTTGCTGTCTAAATGAGTGAGGCATCACTCCCATACTAGTGAGGTAGATTCTTCAGCATTTTCATCAGCAAAGGAGCAACACCTAACTCATTCATGACATTAAGGACAGCCAGTGAAGTGGCATAGGAGGGAAGTTGCTTTGGAGATTTGGTTTCAGAGAGAAAGAAAGTATAAAGGTTTAATGTCGATAAATGCAAAGTAATGCACTTTGGAATTAAAAATAAACAAATGGGTTATACAATTATGGGTATGCCGCTGGGGAAGTCAGAAATGGAGAAGGATTTGGGGGTCATTGTAGACCACAAACTGAAAGGTAGTTTGCAGTGCCAGGCTGCTGTAAACAAAGCTAGCAGGGTTTTGTCCTGTATTAAAAAGGGGATGTATTGCAGGGACAAGTCTATAATTTTGCCACTTTATAGATCATTGGTTCGACCTCATCTGGAGTACGCGGTCCAGTTCTGGTCACCAGTACTAAGAAAAGATGTCCTTGAGTTGGAAAAAGTCCAGCGGAGGGCAACCAAACTAATTAGGGGTATGGAGGACCAGAGCTACGAGACAAGGCTACTAAATTTAAACATGTTCACATTGGAGGTGAGGAGATTAAGGGGGGATATGATCTCCATGTACAAAATGTTCAATGGTGGTAGCAACATTAGCGATAAACTGTTTAAAATTAACTCCATTACAAAAACTAGAGGCCATCACCTAAAATTGGTGGAAAAAAAATTCCAGCACAAGGGGCGAAGGGGGTTCTTCACAGTAAGATCAGTTAGGGTCTGGAACTCACTGCCACAGGCGGTGATTTCAGCAAATAATGTGGAATTGTTCAAGAAACTTTTGGACGATTTCTTAAGGGACCGTAATATACAGGGGTACGGGTACTCCTAGAATGAGATCCTAATAGGTTGGACTTGATGGACTAATGTCTTTATTCAACCTCAAATACTATGTAACACTATGTAACTATATAAATCCAGGCTGAAAACACACTGCTTTGCAAGCATGGAAAATGCAGAGATGTAAGCTGCCCATACACAGATCGAATTGTGGCTGTTTCGTGCTGAATTGCCTGACATCTGATCCATAGGTAGCACTACCGGCATCACCTGGCTCTACAAAAGTTGATTTTTTTTTTTGCCGAAAGAACGAGTGGAAAATTGTAAGATGCATTTGCTGTTTGGGCATTCTGAAAGCTGCGGGCTCCGGCTCTCAGAATCCAATAGCCAGCACTGACAGGGGAGATTCCCCATCCATGCTCTTTAGCTTGGATAGGGGAATCTAGTGATTTTTCACGGTGTCAGAAGCGGTGTATGGCCAGCGTTACTCTTCATCTTGTACAATCGAAAAAGAGGTTCTTTTCTTTGTGCTTTATTTTGTTTATTGCAGAGAAGCAAAAGCCTTGACATAAGTAGCACACTTGAAAAATACATGTAAACAGCCTCAGGCACTTGAGGAGAACCGCTGCAGCAAGAACATTAAAAGTGCCACTTCATAGTCTCTCCATCGCTCTTTAATGCTCTTCGTTTCTTGTTCAGTGTCCACAAAGCTCCCCGTTATGGTCTGGATTTATGGTGGAGGCTTTCTGCTTGGAGGTGGACAAGGAGCTAATTTTCTTGACAATTATCTGTATGATGGAGAAGAGCTGGCAGTTCGAGGCAATGTTATTGTGGTGACATTTAACTATCGATTGGGACCACTGGGATTTCTGAGCACAGGAGATGCCAATGCTCCAGGTAACCATTTTTGTTAAAGGGGAAATTTAGGCAAAATGTTTTGTAGTTTTAATGCTGTCTAATGTCTATGTCCCCATTGGGGAGAATTCCTTTCCTAATGTCCTGCTGTGTCATCAAAACAGTAAGTGTGGAGAACTTCTCCAAGAAGGACAGATGATAAAATACACGTGGAGCTGCTTGGTCTCCTGCCTCTCTACTAATAAGCTCTATTGAATTGTGATACACGTTAGGGGAGGAGTCTTGGTTGGCAGAGCCTTGACATTCTGTAAATAAAGAATTACCCGTCATTAAGACTAATGTGCAGCTCACCTGTTTTATCTTATGGTGGATGGATTAAGCTTGTGGGTCTGCAGCCAGGAGAGGGTGAAATTAGGAATTGTATGTCCTTGAGTAGGATTCTGATATTTACATTGTTATTTAATTTTACTATTGGCAGAAAGCCCTATTTGCCACAGAAGGATTTTTCTCACAGTTGAAAATTGTACCAAATTAATAATTAAATTAAAGAGAAACTCCAGTCAACACTGTGGTTTCTGGCACGCTGAATAATATATTGTCTTCCTATACATCTTAGGGACTTCACTGGCAACTGAACTCAACCAAAATTCCCAGTTCTGCCCACCAGACACGACACTTGTCAAATAATTCAGTACTAAAAATAGCTTTATTCATGTATCTTCTGAAGACTTTAATGAGACAGAAATAGTGAACAGGAGTAACTCCATACTGAAAGCATTAACCTGTTGTCTTAGTCAAAGTTGTCTTAGTCCAAGTCCTTCTGAAGACTTTAATGAGACAGAAATAGTGAACAGGAGTAACTCCATACTGAAAGCATTAACCTGTTGTCTTAGTCAAAGTTGTCTTAGTCCAAGTCCTTCTGAAGACTTTAATGAGACAGAAATAGTGAACAGGAGTAACTCCATACTGAAAGCATTAACCTGTTGTCTTAGTCAAAGTTGTCTTAGTCCAAGTCCTTCTGAAGACTTTAATGAGACAGAAATAGTGAACAGGAGTAACTCCATACTGAAAGCATTAACCTGTTGTCTTAGTCAAAGTTGTCTTAGTCCAAGTCCTTCTGAAGACTTTAATGAGACAGAAATAGTGAACAGGAGTAACTCCATACTGAAAGCATTAACCTGTTGTCTTAGTCAAAGTTGTCTTAGTCCAAGTCCTTCTGAAGACTTTAATGAGACAGAAATAGTGAACAGGAGTAACTCCATACTGAAAGCATTAACCTGTTGTCTTAGTCAAAGTTGTCTTAGTCCAAGTCCTTCTGAAGACTTTAATGAGACAGAAATAGTGAACAGGAGTAACTCCATACTGAAAGCATTAACCTGTTGTCTTAGTCAAAGTTGTCTTAGTCCAAGTCCTTCTGAAGACTTTAATGAGACAGAAATAGTGAACAGGAGTAACTCCATACTGAAAGCATTAACCTGTTGTCTTAGTCAAAGTTGTCTTAGTCCAAGTCCTTCTGAAGACTTTAATGAGACAGAAATAGTGAACAGGAGTAACTCCATACTGAAAGCATTAACCTGTTGTCTTAGTCAAAGTTGTCTTAGTCCAAGTCCTTCTGAAGACTTTAATGAGACAGAAATAGTGAACAGGAGTAACTCCATACTGAAAACATTAACCTAGTGTCTTAGTCCAAGTTGCAGACATGCTTTCCTGGAGTCTCTGAAAGGTGGTGCATGCAATGGCTAATTTAATGAAAAGTAATTCATTTTATGGGGTAGTCTAAGCACCAGACTCTATTCTAAGGAAACCTGTACTACAATCTGCTATTGCCTAACCTCTGTGTTCTTCCTACTTAGGAAACTACGGTATGTGGGATCAGCATTTTGCCATTGCATGGGTAAAGAGGAACATCGCTGCCTTTGGAGGTGACCCCAGCAACATCACCATTTTTGGAGAGTCAGCTGGAGCCGCCAGTGTCTCGCTGCAGGTGACTAAGGGACTTGGGCTTGTGTCAATGGCATCAGTTTTATGACCCATCTGAAATTATTCAGAATTGATTGACAGGTGCATTTGACCTGCAGTTGACTCCCTTCTGACCTGCATTTGATCTGCTTCAAACAGGATTTGTATTCCCATTGGACTCGTATAGAAATGCAAACCTTATCTGACATGAACAAAGGGCTACCTGCACAGGCATACTTCCCATCTAAATTCAGTTTTTCTTAAAGATGAGCACTTTGTGTCTGTAGATACCCTAAAGCCCAAAAAAGGGCCAGGCCTTTTCTGGTAATGAAAAATACACGGGGGAGTTTGTGTTGCTGCAATACTTACCTCTTCTATGGCGCTGCCCCCTGCAGACTCATTGATCTGCAAATCAGTGCTTATCTTCTTCATTGTTTCTTGATGTCAAGTATCATCCAACTGTTGGGGGGCGCACAAATGCAGAAAATGGGCTTTTGAGTGAACCTGCCATAGTTTGTGATGTCTCTAAAATAACTCTGCTGCTGATTTGTAGGCAACTTATGGTGCTCCAAGTACCTCTGCTAATCTTCAAAATGCTGAGTAGACCCTCCTTAACTGCACACTGAAAGTAGGTCTCAACATTCCCAGATTAAAGTGGCAGATTGTCTTTGTATATTTTGCTTACAGAACTCAGCAGCCCAAGCTCAAAAGTACACACAGTTGAATGTGTCAGAGGAGTGACTTCTCCCCCCAGCTTACAGGGCTTTATAGAGATTTAATTAGAGAGAGACAGTCTGAAAGAAAACAGCTGGATCAGCATAGCAGGAAGCCAGGTTATACTTTATTGGACTCATATCAGGGATAAACTCAATTGTGATTGGCTGGTTTGAGTTTGTGCACTTTGCACACTGCCTTTTATCTTATTAAATAAGTTTGTTCTTACTTGTTTTCCCCTTGTGTCACAGACTCTGACTCCATACAACGTCGGACTGATCAAACGTGCTATCAGCCAGAGCGGAGTAGGAATGTGCCCATGGGCTATTCAGAAAGATCCCCTTGTGTGGGCGGAAAAGGTATTTCAGCTGCAAGCACATGTGTTTGTTAAATGGTTTGTTGTATATTTTTGCACACAATTTTTTTTAATGTTGTATCCAAGATGAGGAGTATGCAAAACGACCCACTTGGACATGAGAGTCCCATCTGGTTAAAGACCAACTCAAGGTCAGACTTTTTGGGGGGGGTTTTTAGCTAGTGTAGAAGAGCTAAAAAACTTTTTACTGCTGTCTGAGTCTCTATAGGGGAGACATTTTACCTCACTTCCTCTCAGCCCATAGAAAGTAGGGATATCGTGACCAAACAAGAAGTAAGGGAAAATCTCCCACCTCAGAAACAGCAAGAAAAACCTGGCAGAGTTTTTGCACCTTCTCTAAAATAGAAGTTTTGAATGTTGCTTTGAAGTAAAACTGTGATGTAGCCTCTATCTAAAGCTGAACTCACGCCTTAACTTTAGTCCTGCACGGTTGTACAGATTCCTCTCCTGCACAATAGTTGTTTTCACTGCATCTAGTGATCTTTTCACTGTGTGCATTACAACCGTAGTAAGTCAGATGGAGCCCACCTCATTTCCTGGCTACCATTTGTTCTGTCAGCTCAGCAATCAGGTGCTACTCCTAGCGATCAATTGCTGGCAATTTGCATGGTGTTAAGATTGCTACTGGAGTTTGGCTTTACTTTCTACCATTTTATTGAAATTAGACATGCCTTGTGTAAGATAAGTATACCACGGGGATCAGAGAGAGGGTATTCCAGCTAGGTTATGGCGAGCTGGGTAATGCAGTGTTTTATAGTACCTTTAATGGCCTACCTCACCAAAAATAAAATAATGTAATATCTGTGCTTGGCTGTTTCTCCTCCTTAGCATGTTAATTACAAAAAAAAACTAAAAATCATAGCAAGCCAGAATTTAAAAAACAAAACCCGCTCAGATAAATTGTAATACATTTTGCTCTTTATGTGTCCTTCATGGTGATAAAGTTGAAGCGGGCAATAACACATCAAGGCTACAAGTGATTCCTAATGATCGCAAAGTGGACAGGCAGCATGAAATCATTCAGGGGTTTGCTTTAAGAGCTTGCTTCATTTGCATATTAGCAGCCTATAACATTTAACGACCTAAACAGATCTGCCGCTAGAAACTACTGAAAAGTTGGAAAAGAAAAGTTATTCTTTCATAAAGACGTACCTATTAGAAGTGATCTTCCTCTTTGCAGATTGCACAAAATGTTGGCTGTCCTGTTAACGACACTAAGGCCCTGACCGACTGCCTGAGGAAGACAGATCCCAAGGCCATCACTCTAGCCTATCAGCTGGACTTTGTCAACCTAAAATGTGAGTACAGAAACAGTATTAGTATGGTAGAAGATGAAAGCCTCCAGGCAAACAGCTATAATACACAGCTTTGCCACACAGCATAGTACTATCTGACAGCGGAGGAGACCAGATTTATTTTGCTGCAGTTTCACTGCTCCTCAGCTTGTGACTGTACAGTGAAAGGAGAAGCAGCACACTGATGAGCTAAATGCGCTGCTTCTCCCTACCACTTCTGAGCTCTGATGTACAGGGTTTTCAGAAGTCTGCTACCTAGTCAAATTCAGGTACTTACACTGTTTGCATTTATAAAATACTTTAAAGGAGAACTATGGGGGAGGTGTTTTTCCCCATAGTTCTCCTAAGGGTCACGGGAGGACACAAACTAGCGTCCTCCCGTGACCCAAAGCTCAGTATACCACGAGCTACAGCTTGCGGTATACTGAGACCGCCGCAGCCGGGACGGATCCCAACATTACTGTTGAGATCCACACAGCTGCGTGATTGACAACTAGAGGCAGAGCCAGCTGTACCCGCCCCCTCCCACGTCCGTTCTGCCAGTCAGCGCTGGAGGATCGGAGAGGGGAGGGGGGAAATCCCTGCAGGGAGCCGTGAGTGACAGTCACGGCTTTCTGCAGGGACATGATCGAGAAGTGAGCGAGCGACGGTATGTGTTTGCTCACTTCCCGATCTACTGAGCCGCCCTGTGACAGTTTCATTGTCACCCGTCGGCTCGGACTATGAGGGTGAGTGAAAATCACTCACCTCATAGTTCTCCTTTAAGGATATATTATTATATACAGAGCTGCATTAATTTGCGTATTTTATATCTGCATGAAGATCAGCTTTAGTTTTCTTTCATTTCTTGAAATAGTTTGCTGACCTTTCCCTTCTGAAAATGCCAGTTGCCTATTTGTTCTCTTTATTTGGCTGACTCTTCGGCATTGCTATTTTTATTTATATGCATTTGCTGTCTGATTCTTGTGTAACTCAAAACAATTGAAGCCAGACACAGCTAGGCAGCTAGCGTTTTTAGGAGGCCTGCATATGTTTCCCATGACAGGTTTTTACAGCAAATCTGTTGGCCATGTTAAGCCATTCAAAGTAAAATCTCAGCCAAAGAGAAGATACCACAAAATGCCTGCCGTTTCTTTAATAGCCAAAAAACCTAATCCTCATCCACTTGCCCAATGTCCATTGAGAGCTCCCATATTATTATTATTATGCTGAGTCTCCCTCTATCTCCGGATAGTGGGGTGATTGGTCTGTGCTGGCTTTGTCTTTCTACTCTCCGCTCATACACAGTCATTGTTGCTCCACCAGACTTTCCACGTTTGGTCACACACTGTGCTTTATATGTGAGGGTGGATGTTTTTCTGGATGACAAGTAGATTCAGCTCCATTGTCTTCTATGCCTGCAGACCCCTTGGTACATTATCTGGCTTTCAGTCCAGTCATTGATGGCGATTTCATCCCGGAAGACCCCAGGAATCTGTTTGACAATGCTGCTAATGTGGACTATATAGCTGGAGTGAACAACATGGACGGGCACTTATTTGCTGGGATTGACATGGCAGCCATAAACAGGCCTTTACAGAAAATATATAAGTGAGTGTCAATAACAGTGTAATTTCTTATTCTTATTCCACAGATTAATATTGTTCTTTTTGACCTTCTGAAAATGCTGAAAAGAGGAGCCAAATAACACTTTTACTTCATTTATTTACAATGCAAACCCTCTGCATTACATCATGCTTCAAAGAAGGTGGAACAATGAAAGCTCCTATTGCATTATGGGATCTGACCTTTTTCCTTTGTATGACTGTTGAGGAGCCACACAGAGGGGAAAAAATCAATCTGTACTCATGTATCTGGCATTCAAAAGTAGAGTATATCTATTTTGTTGATTCTTCCACATCAAAACAAGTGCTTATGTTTGACTTGGTCAACTGTGAAGTTTAAAGCGAATTACTATGTAGCTTTGATATGAATTTCTAATCACAATTGTAAAGTTTACTTAAAGTGGAACTGAATGCACATGGATCCCCCAAGGCTCTTACCATAATGTGCAAGTACGTACATCATATTTGTACAACATGGCACACCTGCAGCGATTTGAAGTCCACGCTATCCCTAAACGCTCCGACCTCGCCACTGACATATTTTTCTGGGTCCAGAGTCAGTGGCAGATATATCAGCTGTGAAGCCTGTGCAGGGGCACAGTAGCCTCTAAGGTCTTGGTGCAGGCTTTCCCTGCTTGTAAAAGGCCCAACAACATCAGTGGCCCGATGATGGCCAAGGTGCTTTCAGTGAATACATTTACTCTGGTCAAGTTCCGTGTCTATGGGGCGCTACCTGACAATACCTTATTGTTCCACTGCAAAGGGGACAGGTGATCAGCATGTGCAGAGGAGCTCCTGTTTCAGAAGTAACCACTAATCGCCAATGAATGGGGGATCTTTTCTCACTGACACCAATTAATAAGGGCCTTTTACCCAATGACACCAATGTAATTGGGCCTTCTATCATTAAACACCAATGTTTGGGGGCACTTTACTGACCACCAATATAACAAGGTAATGCTATCACTACACACATGCAATGAAGGCATTTACATCAACCACCATTGTAATAGGCCAATTAATACTCCATTGTAATAGGGGAATTAAAACTACATTGTAATAGGGGAATTAAAACTACATTGTAATAGGGAAATTAAAACTACATTGTAATAGGGGAATTAATACTCCATTGTAATAGGGGAATTAAAACTTCAATGTAACAGAAGGATTTACACTGACCACGAATGTAATAGGAGAATTTATAATGACTACCAATGTAAGAGATACAATTGTACTGACCTCCAATTTAAGGCGGAAATTTACAATGACCACTATTGTCATAGAGGGGTACATTGACCACCGTTGATGTAATGGGCAGGGAGGAAGTGCATAAGCTTGTGGAGGGGCTGACTTCTCCTAAAGGAACTTCTGGCCTGGATGTCGCTTTCGAACTTTACACAGGAAACTGGGGAACAAATCCAGATCAGGAGCTCATGAAGAAGACCGTTGTTGAATTAGAGACGGATTACATCTTCCTGGTCCCAACGCAAGAGGCTCTGGCCCTTCATTACATGCATGCACAGTAAGTCCTGACAGCTGCATTTAATGTAAGAAATCTGTAGGCCGGCAGTTTTTCCCTATGTTTGGCTGGCTCTGGACATTTGTTGGTAAATCCTGTAGGAGTTGACAGGAGTCACAAGGGTCTGTGGAGCTCAAAACATTTACACCCCCCCAATGTTTGGTGAACTTTACAGTTGAATAGTAACTATATTTGGAACAGAAACAATGTTGTTGTTTCAACAAATGCATTGTTCTTGTCCATTTTGTAAATGTAATTATGTAAAAGATGGGTGGAGCCTATGCAAAAATAGGCCATTATTCATGTGTGCCTAGAATAGCCCTGATCCTGTAATTTACTGTCCTATGTTTTATGAGATGTAGAGGGGGCATTGGCAGTTACATACAGTATCTCACAGAAGTGAGTACACCCCTCACATTTTTGTAAATATTTTATTATATCATTTCATGTGACGACACAGAAGAAATGACACTTTGCTACAATGTAAAGTAGTTAGTGTACAGCTTGTATATCAGTGTACATTTGCTGTCCCCTCAAAATAACTCAACACACAGCCATTAATGTCTAACCCGCTGGCAACAAAATTGAGTATACCCCTAAGTGAAAATGTCCAAATTGGGCCCAATTAGCCATTTTCCCTCCCCGGTGTCATGTGACTCGTTAGTGTTACAAGGTCTCAGGTGTGAATGGGGAGCAGGTGTGTTAAATTTGGTGTTATCGCTCTCACTCTCTCATACTGGTCACTGGAAGTTCTAATATGTATATTTTCTGTATTCAGAATATACAGTATATATATATATATATATATATATATATATGTATATATATTATTTTTTTCTGTGCTGTATATCTGTTATGTTAGTGTCCAAATGCACATTCTGTATGCATGCATGCTGTATTTAAGGGTAGGGGAGGAAAGGGGGTAAAAAAGATTTTTCAAGATTTACATCAATTGGGGAAGCCTTAGAACCTTAATTTCTCATAGTTACCATTATCACTGGGACCAATAATGACCAATAGATGTAGAAATAAAGTAGACTTATACTTATGGGGACACTTGTTGCAGTGACAACTGTCTAATAGGGGATTTCCACTCACTTTGGTGAGATTTCCTCTCATTTCCTGTTATGTCTACAGAAAATGAAATCAAGGGAAATCTTCCAAATGGGACAAGAATCGTCCCCACTCTATCCAAAGTTAAAAAAAAGGTTTGGCTTTGATATACTTCACTTCAGCTGCCTGCATCTCCAGATCCAATGATCATTCTATGATTGTCACTAAGGGTACATCTGCTAATGTATTTCTTCATCACATGCTGGGTTTGAAATGCCCTATTTTATGACAGGTTTACTTTAAGGTACAATGAGTCAGCTGAGGTAGGTTCACCTTATTAGGATATTAGGTCAAAAGCAGAGATGCATTTTTCTGTAAGTGGCTAGGTGCAATGCAGAACTGGATATGATTACATCACCTTGCCTATGATGACTTATCCCCCCCTCCCCCTTTTAAACTTCACGCCATTTCTTTTCCAAACCTTGTCTTTTCATTGCTCTACCTTTCCTTGATCTCTAATCTTCCCCTTGTATTCTTCTTTCCTATACAACCCTTGTAATAATAAAGCCTTTTCAGCAGCATGTGTATTGAGTCTTCCATCTGACATTGCATTGCCTATATGCCTAAGGTTGCCTTGTCTGTTCTGAATTTGTAATTTGCTCCAAGTAACTTTATTAGAACTGTATCCATGTATATAGGCTTCTTCTGTGTTACACAGAGGAAATTCTTAAGGAAAAAAATACAAAAGCTGTCAAGACTGTTCTTCCTTAAAAATGCTATATTCCTGGATGTTATGCTGATCCAAAGTCTTCAATATTCTCTGAGTCACTGATGTAGAACAAGTACACAAATCAGGAGCTCTGACTTCACTAGATGCATGCCTGGTCAAGGTCAGTAACTCAAAGGATGATGCAGCGAGCCAACTAGCATTCTCAGACAGGTCAGTATTGGCAGCCTCTGCATTTGTCTATGTACAGGTGTTCTTTAAATAGAGTTGAAAATAAAAGCACAGATCCAAACACAGCAAAAGGTAACTGATTGTAATCCTGATTTGAGACTGAAACGATAGCAGTAAAAATAATTAGCTCACAATTTCTTTTTTCTTTTTCTTTTTTTATCCTAGGAATGCCAAAACCTACAGCTACCTGTTCACTCACCCAACTCGCATGCCTGTTTACCCAAACTGGGTGGGTGCTGATCATGCTGAGGACCTGCAGTACATGTTTGGCAAGCCATTCAAGAACACCCTCGCTTACAGACCACAAGATCGTGATGTCTCTGAGGCCATGATGGCTTACTGGACCAACTTTGCTGCAACCGGGTATGCTAACTTTTTTCTTGTACAACATGGGTGACATTTAAAAACATGGCTGATTTTCTCCAAGAAGATGATGGGGCTCTGTTATGAAGCAAATCACCTTTGTGATTCAAATAGCGGGGATTTAACAGGACGTGTATACACGCCCAGTTACATCCAAGAAGCTCCCGGCAGGCCGTGTATACACAGCGGCTGGCCGGGAGGTAGTTAAAAGAAACAACCATTTCCCAAGTCATGTGCTGGCTACTAGTTCTGAACCCTATCTCAGTCTATTCTCTAAATCACAGCTATAGAACTAGCATGTGGTACTAGGGTTGGGGAAAAGCTGCTTTCATCAGTGCTTTCTCTGTACATCTGCTTCATGACAGGGTTCATTTAAAGCTCACTCGCGTGATTTACTCCAGTAATCATTAGTCAGTTTATTAACACAAGCTGAACAACCTAAGCCTAAAAGCCTACCCCCCTCACCTCCTGTCGGTATACACCTGGTGCAGGAGCCACAACCTTGGCCAGGCAGTGCTTATGTCCTCTTTCAAGCTGGGGAGGCTGTGCAGCTTTGTTCTATAGGCCCTAATTGAATAGCCATCTTCTGCAAGCCTGCAAGGAGATCGCTTTTCCAGTAGGGTCTATGGACAATAGGACCCACATATCCAGTACTGTGCAGCCTGGTATAGGTCATGGCGCCTATACTGGGTCTCATGCTGACCTAAAGTATGTACAAGGGGGTATATATAGTATGAGGAGGGCAGGGGGGAATGATTCTTAGGCTTAGATTGTTTAAAAATAAAGACAAGATTAGTGTTGCTCTATTAACCAGTTAGTGGCTATATGTCCACTTGAAGTCTGACATATGGGCACCATTCTCATCCCTCACAGAAGAGAACCTGGCTGACCTTACTGGTCAGCTGTAGCTAAATTGCCTTTCAACTGCTACTCTAAGATATTGGCTTAGGTTTCATTTTGTCCTAAGGCTAGAAACTAATAGGTTTACAGCTGTAAATCATAGAATCACCCATCTCTGTAATAGGAAAGAATTATAATTGACCATGCATTAGGCTGCTAGGTCAACAAAATATACTAACATCTATGTAGTGTGAGGTCCCACCTTAAGAGATCCATTTAAATTATATCCAGTTACATTAATGTACATACTACATATAGTTGTTGGTAAGCCAATGAAGGTTAAAATAAATTAAATGAAAATTAAATCATCAACACTTTATCCTTTAGTTGCCTTGTTCTTTTTTGTTTGCAGAGACAGAAAACATGGCTGTCACAAGCCTTAGCCATACACATTTGAAAATGGTTTACACACAAAACCATAAAACACCCATTCCTCTTGTACTTCCCTCTCAACAAAACATTATTTTTCATTTTGACAGAGATCCCAGTAAAGGAAACTCTAAAGTCCCCACACCTTGGCTGAGTTACAATACTCAGTACGGAATGTACCTGGAAATCAACAACAAAATCAATAGTAAGTCCATGAAACAGGACCTGAGGTCTCCTTATGTCAAGTTTTGGTGCGCCACCTATCGCAATTTGCCCAATGTGTAATGATGAAATGAAATTTGAATCTGAAATAAAATGCACATTGCAGAAGCACATTTGGTCTTCATGTTTCCCTTTCTTTATTATTGATGTCCAGAATTGTGTCAGGGTTTTGATGTTGGCTGGAGAAGGGCTTTGTAATTTTGGTTAACAGCAATCTTAGTGGTGACACTCAGTGTCAAGCAGGAGCTGCAAAAGCAAACATAACCTTGAGATGTTGACGAAATGAAGATAAAAACTCACTAGCATGTTGCTCCTGTATAAATCTCTGGTAAAGTCATAGCTAAACTGTGGAGTGATGTTATGGGAAGATTGATATGTTTAAATATGTCCAAGGTCAGACACAAATTTGACAAATTATAAGAGAGAGAGAGAGAGAAGTGCATGCATGCAAATGTGCTGGCAAGGAACATTCTGTAGGAGAGGGAGGTGACCTAGCTGTATGGCATCGCTGCATCAAGCTGCATCAAGCTGCCTGGGCTTTGGGGTGTCTAAGTGCCAGGACTGGAGTATAGAAATGCATATCTTTTGGCAGGGAAAACAACTCCCATATACATTGCCTGGCAAAGTATTTCTTTACATTTTTGCCCAAGCATTTATAGTCATCATGCTTCCAAGCAGCTCCAACTCTCTCAGCTCTGATTCCCTGAACTTCCCGTTCAGTACAATATCACAAGGGATAGCACGGTCTCCAGCAGCTGTCCATCTACTAGCTTGAAAGGGAGAAGAGAGGAGGGACGAAGGAGCAGCAGAGTGCCTTGCCTTGCCGTGCCTGCGTGTTTGTGGAGACACACACAGCTTACTAGCACACACAAGGGTGGCTCCATAGGACCCTGCTAGGGAAAGGAGCCACCCTAAAACAGAATATCAGGGCCAGTGCTCACGGGAGCAGCTGACTCTGCAGGAAAGTAAAACTTTTAAACATAAAGAAGCAGTATCTATTGTAAGTGATAAGGGCCTCATTCACACGAGTCGATCTAGCATTCCTGCATCAGGAATGTTTAAGTAAATGTTTTAATTCCTGCTACAAAACCCAAGTATCCATAGTGGCTATATCCCCACCAGAACTCCCAGCACTTTCCAACAGAGGTGGCCAAGGGAAGGCCGATGAGAAAAATGTTTATTATCAGTTCTCACAAGAAGCAAACCACTGTTGGAAATACACCAGCATATACTGTAACTATGTCTTTTGAGCTCTAGATTGTGCTGTAGTGCAATGTTAATCTCTATGTTTATGCATGTTTTATCTATGATACTGTATATACAGGAAGTTCTATCTGTATACTGTATATGTTTCCTGATAATGCTGTATTCCTGTATACATAAATGTAATGTCCTGCTAAGCAAGTAAAACGTAATTCAGCATTCCTCAAGATCTCAGTGCTTCATCTAAACACATAACCAACAGGTTATGGGCCCAGACACTAAACAGAACACTGCAAGTCAACAGATGCCATATCCAAGCTACTGAAAGATGGCAAGCAGTTCAGATATGAAGTTTGCAATTGCAAAGCTCAACAAAACCAACTACCAGCTATGGAGATTCAAGCTTGAAATGCTGCTAAGCAAAGTCGACTTGTGGCAAGTGTGAGTACAGACAGACCCAGTAATGTACCCACAGTGGAATGGGACAAGAAGAACAGGCAAGCAAAAGCAATTATAAGTCTGCTAGTGGACGACAACCAGCTCATCCACATAAGAACATACAGCTAAAGTTATATGGACTGCATTACAGAAACTGCATTAACACTAAACTATATCTGATACGCAAGATATGTAAGATAAGGCTAGAAAAAGGCCAGGAAATCCGTGAACATGTGAATGCAATGCTGGAAATCATAGAACATAGCTAAGAGCAAATTAAAGATAACCACGTGGTGGCATTACTGCTATGCAGCCTTCCAGAGTCATACAGTGCTCTTATTAACGCTCTGGAAACCAGATCTGAGCAGGAACTAACACTAGAATATGCCAAAGGAAAATATGCACAATTAAAAAACCGAGAAAGCCCCTAAGGTGCATGAGAGCAAAAAGCAAAACAAAGAAAGCAGAAAGCTGAGCAGCAAAAGTGAGAGGCACCTACAAGAGAAAGAGCTAAAGCAGTCACAACTGCAGGCACATCATGGAGCGCTACTTTTAAAGTGATTTAGAACAATATACCAGGTGGATGGTGTATTGACTCAGGCGCAACAAGTCACATGACTAGTGATGAGGCCGTCTTCACAGAACTTGATTTCAGTGCAAAGGACAAAGTTTTCCTAGCAAACGGGAAAAGTATTACTGCAGAAGGTAACAGTCAAGGATTCTTGAACTGCATCACACCGTCAGGGGACCAGCAGAGTATCCTTGTGAAAAATGTGCTGTATGTCCCAGACCTAGAAGGAAGCCTTCTATTACTGAAAACCCTTGCTAATAATGGTCTCACAGTTAAATTCAGAGGTATTAAATGTACAAATCGAAACAAAAAGCATATACTCGCAAAAGGAAAATTGGATGAACAGCAATACAGACTCATCACTGCAGGCGAACAAGTCAAGACAGCCACTCATAATCCACACAAACAACTGTCTCCATCTATGGGACAGACGACTAGGGCACCAAAACCCAGAAGCCATAAAAGACATTATAAAAAGAGGCTTATCAGAAGATATAAATGTACTGCTCTGCTAAATGCTCATGACATGCAAATGCTGTATGGAAGCAAAGATCACACACGTACCCCTCTTCTACAGGCCACTCAAAGAAAGACCACCCACCCCATGGAGCTCATACACAATGACGTGTGCAGACCAATAAAAACTCCCACATCAGGCAGGAACAGATATCTACTGAATTTCATTGATGATTATTCCAGGTACACAACAACTTATCTGATGAAGCACAAGAATGAAACATCAGAAAAACTTCAAGACCTTGTTGGCATGTCCAGCAACAAATTGCAACAAAAACCAGGAATTATACGCACCGACAACGGAGGGGAATACATCAGTAAGGAAGTGGGATCATACCTAAAGAAACAAGGTATAGTACACCAGACCACCACACCATACACTCCTAAACAAAATCACACTCTTATAGAAATGGCCAGGTGCATGCTGTCAGACGCCAACCTACCTAAGAAGTACTGGGGAGAAGCAGTCATGAATGCAACATACCTTCCGAACAAACTACCTTCAAAATCTGTTAAAAGCACCCCATTTGAAATGTGGCTTGGATGGAAGTCCAGCCTAGGGCACATCAGAGTGTTTAGATGTAAAGCTTACGCAAAAAATTCCAAAGGAGAAGTGATCCAAGTTAGAGAACACAACCATAGATGGTATTCTGATCGGCTATAGTGAACAAAGCAAGGGATAAAGAATCCTCCACCCAAAGACTGACAAAGTGACAATAAGTCGCAGCGTTTACTTCGATGAGAACCCATCTCCAGAAATAATGATATTGGGAAGTTGTGAAGTGAATTCGCCCAGTGAACCAGAAAAGAGAACTGAGCAAAGTGAAGCCGAACAAGAATCAGAACAAGAGGTGGAACTCACAATGGATAACTCAAATTCCATATTAAATTCTGCTGAACACCCTGAAATTAGAAGATCCACTCTGGCAACAAAGGGAATACCACCACACAAGCTGTCATATACTGCTAAGACAAATAGCATAATCGCACCAACATTGTGGGAAGACATAGAAAAATTACCAAAATGCAAAGCCAATCAATGGAGAAAGGCAGCAGAAGAAGAAATAAAATCACTCCAATAAAATAAAACCTGGACACTCAAGAACAAGCTATCATCGACATTTGAAGAAATGACTGCGGACGCACTCACCAAGCCATTACAGTTTCCTTCGAGAGAAGCTAAACGTCATATAGCAATGCATATGCTGTTGAGAAGGGATGTTGGAAATACACCAGCATGTGCTGATGTATGCTGATTCTATTACTTGTGTAATTATGTATTTTAAGTACTAAATGGCGCTGCAGTGCAATGTTAGTCTTTATGCTTATGCATGTTTTATCTATAAATTATACATGAAGTTCTATCTGTATATACAGTATGTTTCCCGATAATGCTGTATTCCTGTATGCATACATGTAATGTCCTGCTAAGCAAGTAAAACTTAATTCAGCATTCCTCAAGATTTCAGTGCTTCATCTAAACACATAAGCAACAACCACCACATGAAACTTTTGCCACTAGCATATCCTCTATATATCTGGCAGGTGATTCAGTCTACTGGGGCATACATATGATTTATTACAGATATTTATATGTAGCACCAATAGTTTACACAGTCCTTTTACATACTGTACATTCACATCAGCTCCTGCCCTCAACGATCTTACAATCTAAGGTCCCTATCTCAAATGCATACAAGGGCCAATTTAGACAGCAGCCAGTTAACCTTCCAGCATGTCTTTGAAGTGTGGTAGGAGTCTCACACAAGCACAGGGAGAACATGCAAACTCCACACAGGTAGAGTTCAAACCAGGGACCAAAGTGCTCAAAGGCAGAAGTGCTAACCACTAAGCCACTGTTCTATAATGAATTACAGTAAACTAGAGGAACAAGAGCTACAGTATCAAATCACTGTGCCAGCTTAATTTAAAATATATTCAAAGTGCCAACAATGAAAACTGATTAAATGACAGACTTCAACAAAATACTGAGGCGGAGACGCCGATGCCATGAAAGTCCATGGAGCTAGCATTTTTAGCTGATGTTTCTGTAGATACTACAAGTAATTTTAGCAGACCATTTACAATAATGCAGAACACTTAGCCAGCCACTTGCATGGTTCTTCCAATTGTGCTGGGAGAGCTCCTTTCACTGGTTTAGTTCCATCATGTTATAATGCCTGGAAAGTTGTCTGGAGAATTGTGGAGTTTTGGCCTCCATACACATGACATGCATTCTGCAGCTCTGACAGTCAGTGCTCTCTTCCTTTGCCCAATAACCTACAATCACCTATCAGCTCTGAGTGTCATTCTAGAATGACTTCACTCTCACACTGTGTCAAATACCCTTTGTACAGCCCCTCCCTTCTCCATTTTATTTTGTTAAGCCTGTGGCACAGAATAATTGGTTTGCCCCAGCTCCCATCTTACCCATGGCAGCAGATTAATTGATGAGCTACGTTCAAAGTGTGCCCAGGCACATAGAGAGGTGAAGCTGGTGCAATACAATTATTTTTCACTGTTAAACTTAAAAACGGGAACTAAAGTTGAAGGACTGTACCATATGGTGTGTATCCCATGGCCAGGTAGATGGAAATGGAGCAGGTGTGGAAATCCCAATTCACAGCAATGAACAGCAATGAACTTTCACTCTTCACAGTCAACTTTCCACAGCCTCTTGTTTTTTGTTGGAGTTCATTATTTGCATTCACTCGGGGGAAATAATGTATAAAATTTGGAAGGAAATGATTATTGATATGTTATTTAGGCAAGGATGTTGGCCTGAATTACATGCCGGCATCTTTAATGTCTTGTGTACTCTAGGAGCAAGATCGCTCAACTCCAAAGAGTTTCTGGCCCCGTCCCGGCTTCCTGTCATGGAGTCTAACTTCTCCTGTAACATTCTCTCTAATGTATGATGTTGTGTCTAGTTATAGAGTGCTTCATTAACAAGTTCAGGCATCCATAATAACATTTGGTAGTCTCAGGTGGTATCTAATAGGGGGGGCAGCTTCACGGGTGACTAACAGCACCCCTCCTTCTTCCCGGCTGACAGCTCAGCCACTCAAAGGTGGGGACAGCCCTTATAACAGGAACAGAAACTGATATATTAGAGTTTTGAAAGTATTCAATAATTATAAATGTTGACATTTACAGGCCAGAGCTATGAACTCTGCATATTGCCCCCATGGTACCAAAGAGTCTTTTTCCTCAATGTTGAAAAATTCAGACAACATCAATGTAAAAAATCATATCGCAAACAATACAATGCTTTTTTTTTTTTTTTAATCCAAGATTTCCCTGTTAGATTAGCAGTCTGAAGAGCTTCATTACGGCTTTTGTTGAAGCTCTCAATCTCTTCATTTGCTTTGGGGTAATACACTGAGGATTTCCTATGCCCAATATTTCCCTCTTTTCAAAAGGATTCAGACTCAGATAAAACAAATTGTGGCCCATTGGCAGGCACTGGTTACATTGGGTTATCTTCGCTGCTGAAGACTGTGAAGAGAGATGTAATTACTGGAGCAGATGCTATATTTGGGACAAATGCTATTTCAGGCCATTTACTGTAATAATCCAATATAGGAAATTGGCAGCCACAGGTGCCTCTGTGAAAGGATTTACAATATCAATATGAAAGCTTGTCCCAAGCAAATCAGGAAATGACACTGGCTGGAGTGGTGGAGTGTGTGACAGCAGATTTGTCACAGAAAGTACTGCAAGATTAAATTGGTAGTTATTACTTAGACATTCTTGTCTGGTCACCGGTACAGTTGATGAAGTCTTTGCTTTGTATTTACAATTTCTTGATGACTTTCATGTGCAAAGTGTACAAGGCAATCTCTTAAAGTGACATTAAAGTCTAGGGGTATTTTCCACATTCTGTTTTAAGGGCTTACCTTATGTGATTTTTCTTGATGCCATCAGCTAAGGGCAGGTCATATCTTATCCTATAGTATAGTCATAGAACATGGCTCAATTCATTTTCTGAGTTTGTCTATTTGCTTTTTAGAAAGACCCGCAATTGTTCTTGTACTGGGCATGTAAGACAAACTTCTAGTCATCTTTAAGTTCTTGAGAAACAGCTTCCTTTACAGAGAAGGTTAAGTATCCTAATTTCTGACACTCTGATTTCACATCTGATTGCACTTTAATTTTAGGTTCAAATTTCTTTGTAGAGCCCAGTGAAGTGTCATTTAGTTGTGAAACCTTGAACACAGCTAGCATAGGAGCAACTGGAGCTGTTGTGGAAAGACCATCCACTAAGTGTTGACTTAGTTCAGCAAAAAAGATCCCTGCCTAGTATAGAGGCGCCTTTCTTTACAAGAGTTCAGAACACACACTAGTTGAATACAATTTTACAGTCACCAGCAGGCCATCAAGCACAGGAATCGGGTCTCTAAGAACTAACTAGCTTCAGAGAAGGTGCAGTAAGTGGTTCATTTGCAAAGTACTTCTGGTAGATTTCCTCAAGCAGTATATAGACAGCAGATTCTGTATCAAGCATCAGGATAATGAAGTAGCCCTTTGTTAGCAGAATCAGTTGTAACAGTTACAGTGCACAAAGGTTTATCTTAAATGGAGTGAACATACACACATTTACTTGCCGTGGCAGTCTCTGCATTTCTTCAGCACAGGTTCTCACAGAGACCGAACACAGAAAGAGAGCAGACAATGTGAACCAAACCCAACATGCCGATCAGGAGAAGTGATAATTTGCAAAAAAAGCATATATAGAAAATACTCCCCTGCAGCTAGTCCTTCAGCCATACAACAGGTAATAAGAAGTAGAAGGAAAGGATGCTACAGGGTTACATGTTAAAACTATCAATACGAAAACAGGGGACTTTGAATGTAGCACCCAAGAAACATCTACTGCACAAAAAAAGTTTGTATACAAATAAACACGTTATTAAAAAGAAATACTACAAATAAAGTTCAGCATATTACATGTATTGATTGATGCATTTCAAGGATTAAATCCCCTTTTTCTGGAAGGTTATAGAGAATACTAGCTCAAAGCTCCACATACATGGCCTGTATATTTGTATATGATATAGTAAAAATTAAATACAGTTATGTGGATCCCCTAATGACTAGACAAGGCAGATGCCCCAAAGGTCTTTTATATAATACTGTCCATTGAGAAACAATAACGGTATTCTCAGGTTGTAGTTGATGATCAGCAAAAGTGAGCCAAAACATGCCCAAAATATCTTTCCAAAACGTCATCTATATATAGAACCTCCAAATATTAGAGATACTTTCAGGCTGTACTCACTAGTCAGTCCAAAAAAAAATCTCTGAGCCTGATGAAGGGGACCCTGTGTGGCCCCGAAAGCGCTTGCTAATGAGAGACAACATCTGTCAATAAATGAGCACTTAATTGCTGTTATCATCGTTTGGTGTGCTGGTGACATCTTCCTATTAGTCCGAAAAAAAAGACTCCTGGTGGACGCATGCTAGGTAAAAAGGAAGATCACATCAACAAAGGGTTACATGTAGGTAGTGTTTATATACAGATTTGGCCTTAAGACCCGATAAGTGGTGTGTGTGCAGCTGCGGAGGCTCACACAGCCTCCCTTGAGGTATTTAAGACAAGGACTGAAGCCTTCTCTGTCATGTGATCTCATGAGGACTCATGCCGCCTGATGATTGGTGTGGGTGTATATAAAAGTAGCAGTAAGCCCTCCTTTTGGGACTAGATCCAGAAATGGCCCGCTGGATAGCTCTCACCTTGGCGTTCGCCAGCCTCCTGGCAGCTGTCCATGCAGCATCGGTAAGGCATTAGTAGAGATTGTTTGTTATTAAGCCATCACAATTCATCATGGGGGAGCCAAATATCAATGTGGCTTTCTATCAGGATTTCTATTTGCCATTGTTCAAGGCTACCAAAAAGATTTGGCTTCCTAGAGCACAGTAGGGTGAACAATAAACTTCTATTGGTGGTTGGAAAATGTGGTCATGGTATAAATGTGCAAAGATTGCATTTGCCAGGGAAGATCGTTCACTTTGTAGGGGTTGGACTTTTTAAAAAAACAGTGAATTTTCAAAAGTCATGTTAGGCCCTACAAACTTGAAAATCCCATTGTTTTCTATGGGTATGGTTCACACCTTTCCGTATTTCAGCCCGTCTGAACGCCCTACAAAACGGCCTAGGCGTTTTGGTCTCGCGTTTCCATTGGGATACAGCCAAGTAGCCCTCAGAAACGCACGTTTGTCGCGCATTTTTTTTATCGCGAGCGCGCAACAAACGCGCATATTCAATACGCCTGGGTGTGAACCCAGCATTTAAGGGGGAGTACTGGAGAAACTGTAGATTGGGCGAGCTGGATCTTAAGATCATAGCTGTATTAGGGGGGTCTACGGACATTGCTGAACTGTACGGAGAGGAACATTGATGTGGGAAGACACTGTAAGAGATTATCAACAAATTCTTGCTGTTTATGTGTCTGACTGGCAATAGCAATGGCCAACCCGCACTTTCCAGGCTATGATACTATACAAGGTGAACAGGCAAAAAACATAATGAAACAGGCAAAAAAAATAATGAAAGATCATTTGTGTCTATGTGTTGGTATGGTACCTTAATGGCCCGTCCAGACCTAACAGATGTGCATTACTGAAACGCACCTTACACACATTGCTCTACCTTTTCAATGGCATCCCATCACATGTAGAGAATGCACCTCCGATGTATGTGTTGTAGTGCACCACAACTTATGGTAGTACATTGTGGTGCACTTAGGTGCGTATGGTACGTTTTCAGTAATGCTCATGTTAACGCACCAAAACTAATAGGTTTGGATGGTCCTTTAAGGTTAGAAAAAATAGAACGTCAGGTTTTTGTTGTTGTTCTGGTTCATATTGGTGTGTTTGCATCCTGTTAAATGAATGGGCTGCGTTAATGCAGCATGTGATAACATGTGTACCTTATATGCACATATCTAGATTGGGCCCTATTGGCCCATTTACATTGATCGTTTTCATTGGATCTCAGGCAGAAATCCTGTTCAGTCTTATGCAGGGCAGCCATCAGAAATTTTGTGGCAGCTTACACAGCTTTAGGCTGGACCCCCCCGTGCCGCTGGACGCAGGGCTTAGTGACGCGCTGGATGCAGGACCCACCTGAGAGTGACCCTGCAGAGCCCACATATATGCTGCACAGCCCATCTGAGACTGTCTATTGTGGGCTCTGAAGTCTCAGGTGGGCTGGTCAGGGCTGCATCCCTCCCCTCCCTCCTTTCCTTCCCTTCCTTCCTTCCTAGCTCCTCTTACCTGCAAACATGGCCTCATCACTTCCGGCCAGTCCGACATCAGACGAGCAGCGTCGCTGATGGGGCCCTAGCTTGTCTCGAAGCCGCTGGAGCAGCAATGCTGGGGCCCTGCGCTGCTAGGGCCATGCCTCCGCCTCCTCGCCCTTCTCCGTCGGCCGATAGTCATGAAAGGGACCCGGGCGGGCCCCCCAGGCTGCCCGGGCCCCTTACATGAGTATCGGCCGTACCCCCCTGATGGTTGCCCTGGTCTTATGTGGCTAGTTCACTCCTATGTACTGACTCTCTGCATATTTTTGTACATTTACCCAGGTTAACCAAGCCCATCACAATGAACTGTAAACACACAAACTCACGGTTCTTGCATTTATGTGTGTTTTTGTGTATCTGCACCATGGAAAAAAATCTTTATTCTAAATGTACCTCCCTCACTTTGCATAACGCATGGATAAAAAATAGGCACTTAAAACACACATTAAACACATATAAACACACACAAGAGCAAGAGGGCTGCAGAAGGTTAATACCAAGGTGCAGGCTCTAGAAGTATCTGTATTCTGACTCAGATTGTTGTATTAGCGATTTATCCCTTGCTGAGACCTCTATGCCTGGCCTGTATAAGCAAATATAATCACTGCGGATAGCTGAACTCACCAAATACCATTTCATCCACGGAGGTGCTTTATTTGAATGCAGCAGGTTACAGCAGACAGCAGGATACAGCAGATGAATGAATAGACGGTATTTGAAGGTCGTAGATAGTAATGTTTCCAAGCATGCAATGCAGATTAACATGTGGTCATGTTACTGTCAGCTATGATACTAGACAGTGGCGTAACTAGTGACCTCAGGGCCCCATGCAAGAATCCATGAAGGGCCCTCCCCCCCAGAAGAAACACATTAGATTTTTTTTTTTTTTTTTTAAACAAAATTTAGACAAGGAAAGAAAAAAAAACACTGTCCTCTTTCATCTCCCCATTATCTCCCCCTTCATGTCCCCATCGTTCCGCTCCCGGACCCCATGTCACCTTCCTTGATACTTCCAGCTCCCTGTCTCCCCCTTCGTGTCCGCAGCAGCTCTACTATTCGGCACTCTGCGGCAGTTCTGTGTGATGAGGGGGCGGGGATTACACCGCTCCCTCTCATTGGCTGCTGCCCGGCTGGATGATGCTTCACGCTGCGCCCGGAACAAGATGAGGGGAGCAGCGTGAAGCATGTAGGGCCCAGGACGGGAGGAAGAGGTCCCGGGACTGGTAATCAGCGGTCACCAGTGGCCCCTTCCTCCTGTCCTGGGCCCTCTCCAAGTGGCCGAACTCCAGGGCCCGGTCGCGGCCGCGACCTCTGCGACCCTGGTAGTTCCGCCACTGATACTAGACTAGTGGACAAGAAGGGCGGTACATAACACACAAGGGGAAATATATCATAGCTGGGAGGGAACAGAAAAAAACAATAATCAGAATGACCACAAGATGTCAGTATATGAATTAGACATACAATATCAATGAGCTAATGGCTTAAAGTGACATTAAACCCTCAGATTTTTTAACATAAACCAATACTGTAATGTGTACCTTACTGTAATCCATGGTTGTTTCCCTTCTCTTTGCTGCTCTTCCTTTTAAATCCTCATGTCTTCTCATGCTGGGGGAGAGCTTCCCTTTTCAGCTCAGGGCCTCTTCCTGTAGTGCTGGCTCCGGTTACAAGCCTATACAAACCTATACACAGACACCGTGTATCCATTCCAGAGACAAGGCAGTGTGCTGCAAAACAGAAGTTCTGCCCAGCATGAGAAGAGATACAGATTTAAAAGGATGAGCAGCAAAGAGAAGGGAAACAACCATGGATTACAGTAAGGCGCACATTACAGTATTGTTTTATGTTAAAAAATCTGAGGGTTTAATGTCACTTTAAGGAAAATAAACTATATAAATTCTCATCTCACATTTGTATGAATATTAACTATGACTATGAATTGTCATATTCTATACAACTATTGTGGCAGCACAATTTGGGTTGACCAGGGCCCTTAGTGGTGGGGATGGATTTGGCCAGAAATATCTCACTCCAATAATGGGCTACAATCTCAATACAAATTAGTAAACTAAATGCGAGATTGCAGCCCATCACGGGAGAGAGCTTGATGCGGTGGCTACTTTACAACACACAGAGACAATGTTGAACAAAAGTAACCTCCCTCCAGAAGGAAGGACAGTGTCAGCACCAATTTAGAGATGATTTGAGGATCTACAGCCAAGTTATACATAAATAAGATACATTTTTGTTAATAGTTGAGGTACTTGAATGTATTTTTAAGGTTTAACTCCTGAGTTTAGTGTCACTTTAAGCCAAGGGACAAGCTCAGTCCTGGAGCAGGAGATCAGGAACAGCAGAATGGGCTCTTCCCTCAATACATCATCTTCTTGGTTTATTCAAATTCCCCCACTAACAACACAGCCTGTTTGCCACCCTATTAGATCCCTTTGAAAGTGTTTTGTTATATCTGTTTGATAACTGCAAAAAATGAGGTCAGGGTGTGACGCACAGTACAGACGTCAGTACACAGTACAGAGGTCAGCGGTCAGTATGTAATGCAGTGCAGAGGTCACAAAGAAAGTACAGGGACTTACAGTTACTTTTACCTCTTCTTCTGGTAATGTTGGGGGCAGCAGCGAGGTTTTCTACATGTCCAGCCGGCTCCAGGTGCTCTCTCTCCCGCGCAGTAGAAGCCGGCCAACTGCATTTCGGCAGTCTTCCTCTCCCACCAATGGCAGCTGAGGTGGGCGGAGGAAACTGCTGTGGCCGCCAAGGAGCTCAATCGAAGCGGGCACAGACGATGGCAGTCGAGCTTCTTGTTCTCTTCTCCCCGCCGCCGCAGTCTTAAAGTCAGAGCAGTCTTAAAGAGGCCGCCCTCCCAGTCCACATCTTTCGGACGTTATTAATCTGAGTTGCCCCAGTCATATTGAGTGGGGCACTAAGATTAATAACGTGTGGCATTAGTCTGATCCAGGGGCGGTCTGGGCCCGTAGGCAGGGTGGCAATTGCCCGCCAACCCTCTCTGATACCTTTGCAAACACCCCCCACCGCCGTTGTATGCATTTAATCTCTCCCCTCTTGGTCGCTCAAAAGATGTGGACTGGGAGGGGGGGCTCTTTAATACTGCTCTGAGCACATCGCTGAGTGATCCCTCTCTCTCCTCCCGACCGCTGCAGCTTCAGCTCCACGGAGCGGGCACTCAGAGAGGCGGCTCTGATCGCACCTGTCAGCACTCCCTCTCTCTCCTCCCGACCGCTGCAGCTTCAGTGCGGCTGGGAGGAGAGAGAGGGAGTGATAACAGGTGCGATCAGAGCCGCCTCTCTGAGTGCCCGCTCCGTGGAGCTGAAGCTGCAGCGGCCTGGAGTGCAGAGAGCTAGTGCCGGCTCTGGATGGGAAACTACCGCCGCGGTGATCCTTCGCTTCTGTTCTCTCTTCTCCTTTTTTTGCCAATTGCAAGGGGGCGAGTGGAAATTTTGAGGCCTGCAATAGAGCAAGTGAGTGTTGCCACCCTAAGACAGTAATGTGTAATTGGCAGAATGACCAGATAAAGGAAAAAAAAGGCCTGCAATAAAAACGAATGCACTGCATGAGGCTCATCTAAGGACTGGTAAACTGCAATATATAACATTGTTTTGGGGTTCAGATACATTTTACACTTCCTCATAATGAATTATATAAAACAGGTGCCCCTGAGCTGCTTCATGTGACCTGAAGCTTAGGCAAATATCACACCGTCTCCAGCTATCGAGAAAACAATCTCTTTTTTTTTTGCAGCTGGGAGTCGTGTACACAGAAGGAGGATTCGTACAGGGAACGAATAAGCAAATTGGTATTTTGAATCCAAAATACATTGACATTTTCAAGGGAATCCCCTTTGCTGCTCCTCCAGAAATCCTCCAAAAAGCTGCGAAACATCCAGGATGGTCAGGTACATTTTGTGGAAATTGTAGAAGCACCTTTTGTATTTCTCAGCACATCGAGGAATGTCTGTGGGCATTCAGGTCCAGAATAATCGGGGAACCTTTCTACACACGGCCAGGCATAGGATACGCTCTGCTGGCCTGTACTATAGAGCAGTTGTTAAGCCTAGGTGCTGACTGCACAGTATGTCATGCATTTAACCACCAGAGAAAAAGGTTTTACATCTGCATTTAAAGTGCCATAATAAAAATAAGGCCCATTGTCCTAGTAAAAATAGTATGATTCTAGCCTAAGGGTTTTAAAGCTTCCACTCACTTCCTGCTTTGGTCCGTGATGGTGGTCATGAGTAAGTGAACAGAATGTATCTAATGGGGACAGCAATAAGAAATACAAGGGGCATATTTATAAAGCAGCAAACCTGACATTCATTGCAGGTGAATCTTCCAGGTACATGTATTTAAAGAACAACTCCAGGTAGAAACAAACTTAAACTTGAAGTGGGGCTACCCCAGCACTGCACGGGTTGGCTGCTAGACCGGTTCCTGCAGCCTGTCCCCTCCTTTGCTCTGGTGGTGGAATGTCCCTCTGTGTCATCACCTCCAATATACTGGTGACTCAAGGGTTCTTAGACTGCTGGAGTGGAAGGGGAGAGAAACTGCAGGGACCGGTCTAGCAGCCAGGTGGGACCAAGGTTCAAGTGAGTATATCTTTGTTATTTTCCTCCCTAGACTAAAATGAGCACATAACCCTTGCTGTGCTTTATTTCTGCTCAAAGTGGAAATGAAACTCATCTCCCCTTGCCCGGTCTTCTTCCAGGTCCATGATCTTTGCCCATCTTTGCTGGCCAGAGCAAGATGGTATAACCCTTGCACATGCACATCTTGATGATTAGGGGTAGAACAACCGATGCCAGCGATAGAACACAGAGCAAAAGATGTGCCAAGAATGCACACAATGAGACTCACAGGTGCAGCTCACTGTACAAGAAAAATTATACAGAAAGAATGAATGTATAAAGAAAATTGTGAACAGGCAGGTACGTTTGTTGTTTTATGGCAGGAGAGACATAGCATTCACCACTAGATTCACCACTAGAGAATGGTTGGTGAAAGCCACATTCCCTGCTTTATATTGTCTCCTTTTGGTTTGGTAGATTGGGCAATGGTATTATTTCTTGCCTGGAATTGAGGGGAAATCTGTCCAATCAGGACATAGAGAGCAATAGAGGGGCTTCAACCTTTTCCCACTATTTACAATACAAAAAAAACATTGGGCTGAAGTTGGGCTTGAAAGATACTTGTGGAAAATATACATTTTTTCCCTTCTAAAATGAACCTTTTTTCACTTTAAGAGGGTAACCTAAACCTGTGTTTTTCTCATGCTGTGCATAGCAACAAGTTTATGTTAATCTTCCCCAGCAGCATATATTCACCTTTCTTTTGCTGTCCCATTGCCCCACCGCCCCATTGTGCTTATGGGAGAAGAAGTTGTCATGTTTATTCTATGAGTTCCTCAATTTCTGGCTTACTCGGGGCTGTAGACTCTCCCCATGAGATAGTGCTGGTGCTGGATGGTTGGCTTACACAGGACTGTAGACTCTTTCCATGAGATAGTGCTTGTGATAGATGGTTGGCTTACATGGGGCTATAGACTTTCCTAGTGTGATAGAGCTGGTGCTGGAGGGTTGGCTTACATGAGGCTGTAAACTTTCCCCATTTGATAGCACTGAAGCTGGATGGCTGGATTAACAGGGCTATAGACTTTCTCCATTTGATAGTGTTGATGCTGGATGGTTGGCTTACATAAGGTTATGGACTCTCCCTATGTGATAGAACTGGTGCTGTCTGGCTGGCTGGCTGGCTTAACAGGGCTATAGACTGCCTTTGTGTGATAGTGTTGTTGCTGGAAGGTTGGCTTACAGGGGACTATAGACTCTCTCCATGTGATAGTGCTGGTGCTGGATAGATGTCCTACACAGGACTATAGACACTCCCCGTGTAATAGTGTTGATGCAGGATGGTTGGCTTACACATTCTATAGACTTTTCCCATGTGATAGCACTGGTGCTGGATGTTTTGCTTGCAAAGGGCTATATATACTCTCCAAGTGTGGTAGAGCTGGTGCTGGATTGTTGGTTTAAATGGGACTATAGACTCTCCCTATGTGAAAGTGTTGATGTCGGATGATTGGCTTACATGGGGCTATAGACTCTCTCCATGTGATAGCGCTTGTGCTTGACCAGTGCCATCACTTGGAGAGAGTCACTTGCTCCTCAATACATGGATGTACCAAAAAGGAAAGATACATATGTACTGCTGGGGGAAAGGTAATTTAAGTGGACCTGTTCCGTTGTGCTGCATGGCAAGACACAGGTTTGCTTTAAGCTTGACATAGTAAAAATTTTATAGACTTTTTTGTTTGTTGCAGCCGAGAATGATTGAAGGACTTTAGTTTGCAGGCTTTATGTGTGCACTTATGGGTTTGGTTGCTCTCCATTTTTACTCCAGGAACTCTGAAAGCCACAGACTTCAAGTCACGCTGTCTGCAAGTCACCTTGAGCCAAACTGATACCCGTGGAAGTACAGACTGCCTGTACCTGAATATCTGGGCTCCTCAACCTGGCAGATCAGGTGAGCAGGTGGGATGGGTTATATGCATCTGAAAGGGCTATCATTAACAGGTATAGAGATCACACAAGCATGTCCAATTTGTTTTCTATAGAATTGAGTTGTCCCGTACCCTTGTCTTCACCAACCTGAAATTCTTAAATAAAAAAAAAATATATAGCACCAGATTCCATATGGGAAGTTTCCATTCAGGTTGTTGCTTCTTCAAGCAAATTTCTATTTATATAAAATATATGTACCTTTAACAGACATTAATTCATTCTGTAAATCCAGTAAGAGGCTGCTCTTATTGCATATTGCAATGCATTGTTACAAGGTTAGCTTTATTTCTAAACATTTTCACATTCTCATTTAACTCTATGCACAGCAAAGTGATGCAACGCGATGACTGCAGCACTTAATTATAAGGATCTTCCTGTGATGGGGTGACAACAATGATCCTGAATTCAGAGCAGAGTTGCCACTCTCATGTAGGCTGTACCTGCTGGCACTACAGTGAGATGAGAATATATTGTAGGGGGTGGGGCTATTAGCATTGTCACTGCTGATTCACAAGCCTGTAGCTAGTCATTCAGCACCTGGCCACACCTAGCCCTGCCCACTGATTTCTGGACTGAAAACATTTCACTGTGATCTGCAGTGTCTGGGAGAGGAAGCATTTGAGACACAGATGAACAAAGATTTGGCTCAATCAAGGGAGTTAAGGAAAGGGGTTTGTTGACTTTAGGAGACTTGTGCAACACATATGCTGAGAGCGCCGTAGCCAGGATGGATCCCGACAATACTGTCGAGATCCATCCAGCTGGCTGATTGACAGCTGGCTCTGCCCGCCCCCTACTCCGTCCGCCCCTTTAGTCAGCCCTGGAGGATCGGAGAGGGGGTGGGGGGAATCCCTGCGAGGAACGATGACTGACAGTCACCACTCTCTGCAGAGAGATGATCAGTAGTGAGCGGACCGGCGGTATGTTTTAGCTCATTTCCCGATCAATAGAGCCGACCTGTGACAGTTTCAATATTACACGTCAACTCTAACTATGGGGATGAGTGTAATTCACTCATCTCATAGTTCTCCTTTAATTTGAGATCAGAAAGAAATGTGTCTGTCTTTCTTCTTTAAGTAGTAAAGTATATCACCAGCACACCAAAGTAAAATCTTCAATGAGTGGTCATTTTATTGATGTACACACATCTAGTCATAAAGCAATGTTTCAGGGCCACTCAGGGTCCCTTCATCAGACATGGTGAGGGTCAGGAATGATAAAGGTCATGCCTGATGAAGGGACCCTGCGTGGCCCCGAAACGTTGCTTTATGACGAGATGTGTGTACATCAATAAAATGACCACTCATTGAAGATTTTACTTTGGTGTGCTGGTGATATACTTTACTACTTGGATTTGAAGTGGCGCCATCCACTTTTACTGCAGCACCCACTTAAAGTTACATACTGGTAAGTAGTGCGGTGGGAACCTTTTTGAACTTTGCATCTTTTTTCTCTTTCTCTTCAGCACATCTACTTTTGCATAAGTTTCCACACACTTCATGGAAGGCTTGTGCTGTTTAGAAATTATTTTTATCAAAAAGGTGCATTTAAGCTGACTGAAGGCCTCAAGTGTCAGATGAGATGTACATGTTGGAAGAAGTCCTTTGTAGCCATGTGCAGGCAAAAATGAAACATTTTTAGGTTGCCTCCTTATACCTGAGTAGAAGCATGTATAGAACGTCACAGCTTCTCTAACTTCTGTCATCTTAATTGCAGTGTCCACCAACATGCCAGTTATGGTATGGATCTATGGTGGAGCCTATCTGTTTGGTTCAGCTGAAGGAGCCAATGTACTCAGCAACTACCTGTACGATGGCGAGGAGCTTGCTCTCCGTGGCAATGTCATTGTTGTGACCTTCAATTACCGTGTGGGACCATTGGGATTCTTGAGCACTGGAGACGCCAACTCCCCTGGTAAGGCATATGAGTTAACAATACTCTGAATCAGAGCTGTAGCTAGCTCCTTTTGTGCCCGAGGCAAGAACAGGAGACAGTTTGAGGCTATAACACAGTGAGACAACTACAATGACTGGAGGGCTCTATAAGAACCAAATCGGAGGTGCTGGAGCAGTTTTGTTTTCTTTGGATGGTTCAGCTGGTGTTCACCCGTGTTGGAATTACCAGCGAGCAGCTTCTCACCAGTAAGGAGCAAGGTTTTGGATAACCATACATATCCCAATTGCAAACCATGTGACCAAGCTGAGATTTATGTGCTATAGCTGGGTATTGTAGCAGTTAAAGCTCATGTTAGCTTTAGATAGTGTGGGGAAGAGCTAAAACCCCTGTTGGTTCATTTATTTCTATCTTTGTCCTCTTGATGAGATTTCCCTTCACTTACTGCCCTGGAGATACAACAGGAAGTAAGAAGACATCTCTAAAGAGTGAGGGAAAATCCCCTCTTAGACCGCTATCACCAGTACCATGGTCCTCGGTGGAAGGTTTGCCCTCACCTTGTGGGGCTAACTCCTCACTACCACCTCACCTCCAACCACAATGAGCACTTCCAAATGTGACAAGTGCTTGTTGACACATGTGGGAACATTTCCAGCATGATGGCTAATGGATGTTATCTTACTGTAACTTCTTCTCAGTATAAAATTAAAAAGGTTTGAAAGAGGCTCCTAAAGTCTATGTATAGCCAAGCAGGTGTTTTTGGCTACCTCTGTCCTGGCTCCATAGAGTCAAATTCTCTGTATGACCAGGTGACCATTGTCAAGAATACAGTAAGTGATGGGAATTCCAGTTATCACCAGACCAAGAGGTGAGGGGAACTCTTCCATTGGGTACACCTGTTCCAAATGCAGTTGTCTTAGAGGGGAATCCCTCTCACTTCCTGTTGCATCACAGCATCACAGGACATGATGGGAAATCTCCCTTAGTGGACACAAACACCAAAAAATACACTTTTAGAAATTTAAACCCATTCCTACTTAATGCAACATTTAGATTTGTAATCCCACACCTCAACAAACCACTTACAATCTATCAGGAACCATCGTCATTCTTGGTTTCTACTCAGATTTCCGAAGACCCCTATGAAGAGTCAGAGATTTCAAGGATTAATCATGTACCTCTCATTTAGGAAACTACGGCCTGTGGGATCAACATATGGCTATTGCTTGGGTGAAGAGGAACATTGCTGCCTTTGGTGGAAACCCCGATAACATCACCATCTTCGGAGAGTCCGCAGGAGGTGCCAGTGTCTCTCTGCAGGTAAGAAGAGGTAAACATTGGAGCTGCATACCACGTGACTGTAAAGAAAAGGGGTAATGCAGTTTGGGGCTTACTATTGCTATCATGTATTTTGAGTGAAATACATTTTTGACATGACCAGAAGTGACAAGAATCTCTCTACCGTTGACACATGCACTCATCAATGCACAAAATGGGTTTTTATTGACGTCCTTGTCCCATAGGGTGGGTTTGCCCATCACTTTCTGTGTGGTCATTAGGACAGGAAATAAAAGGAGTCCAAGGAAACGTAGAATAGAGGTGCTGGACATAGATCCTTAGCTAGTAGAAGCACGGCTTTATTTAAGCCTACTGGTTTTGATTTGGCAGCTCTCCACAAAGAAGGGGGTCCCCCTGAAAGATAGGGGTCACCCAACTTGAGAACAGAAGAGAGCACCAAACAAATGTCTTAGGAATCCAAAGTATTTTATTATTTCCACAAGTGACAACAGGGAAGCAAAACTCATTTTGGGGGCTAAAAAAAATCCCCTTTCATCAGGGCTTTAACAATGCATCAAACTGTATAATGGACTTATAACAAAAGGAAAGCTCCTGGGTGTATGAATCTAAGCCAGGAGATTAATCAGTGAGTGATTGTGCCTGTGTTAATGTCAGAGCAGGTGAGGAAATGAGAGGTAACCTCTCATTGTCATAGTGGGGCAGAGGTAGTAATAGAAATGTGACAGGCATTCTGTCATTCCCCCACTCTCTCCAAAAGTAAAGTAAACAATGTTTGGCTAAAGATCCACTTTTAATGAAAGCAATGACCAAAGAGCTGGAAAAAATAAGGCAATTCCAAGATTGACAGGCTCCTCCCCCACATC